TGCAGCTGAACTCCGGTTTTGATATCTCATGATCTAGACATGCTATGGTGATGAAATTTGGATGGTAGGTAGCTCTTGTGCTGGGGAAGAAGTGACGTGAGTTTGGGCCCCCTAGCGGCTTGCTCTAGAACTGCAGGGATATATTCTTGAAAATATTCAAAAGGGGATAACTCAAGAACCGATTGACGGATCGTCGTGATTTTTGGTATGTAGGTAGCTTACGCGATGTTTAATATAATTATGTGACAATTATGCAAATATGGATGTAATTTGCATAATTTATGGGGAAATTCTATAAATCAGCTGCATTCCATGATAGGACAATTGAAGCTTGTGACATTGGTAATTGACAATGAGAGAAACACAGGAAGATATTGATTATGTTAATAATGACTTAATTTGCATAATTAATGAGAAAATTTTATAATTATGTAATGATAACTGCCTGGAATTTCATACTTGTGGTATTTGAAAGTTTAGTTGAGGTGAACATCATTAAACACAATTTATTCAAATCAGGACCTCATTTGCATAATTTATTAGGAAATGCTAGAATGCATTGTTTGTTAACATATATAAGACTGTCTTTTGGTTGAGATTATGATAGAATGATTAATTCATGAAAATTAGGTTCCTATTTCTTAAATCAGGGGGGAATAATCTAATCTATAATTTGTCAGTCATAAAGTTTAACATCATTTGGCGAAGGTATGAGATCGGGGAACTCTAGTTTTAGAATGTTGTCATATGCACTTTGGTAGATATATTGCGGTTTCGGAGCATAAGTATACGTGAACCAGTTTGGGTGGTATGTCGAAATTACTAATGCCTGGCCTCTGGTAAGAATGTCTTCAGGGCTCTCATTATGTTATGTTATATGTTTTAGTTACGTAGGGTATAATTAAGACACTTAAATATTATATTTCTTGCCACAAAACCTCAAATATGTATGATTCCTCCTAGAATTTACGGGTAACCATTTTAATTCACCAAATATAGCTGTATCATGTGTATGGATTGCAAGCTGATTAGGATACTAGTACTTTGTTGTTTTGCTGGATTTCCAGTGTTTGTCTTTTTTATATTATAAACATGTCAATTTCCACTCGCTGAATTCCCGATCCGACTTATCCATCTGTATCTTTCTATCAGATCTAACAAAAAATCTTCAGTTCTGAACGAAAAGAACAGAGTTTTTAAGAATTAAAATTCCTTTTTTTAAACAAATGCTGGTCCGGATACCGCCTAGTTTTTTCGTGCAGTTTTATCGACATAAGCGCAGCGCCATCTTGTCTTTTGCGTGCCAGATCGTCCCTCTCACACCTGCCTACGTGGTCTACAGAGGTACGGACCAAGAACACAGTTCCGTACATTTGAATCGTCAAATAAAGATTAAAACGTGTACATATTACTAGAAAATGTCATTTTTAGACTAATTAGTAGCCTATAAGCAATTCGAAGCTGCTATCAATGTGATGCCAGTAGAAGGAAGCTGAAGTAATGGAAATATGGGGTCCACATCCGCCATGATAATGAAATGCCTTACCTTGAAGCTTTGCCTTCGTGCTGTCGCTCCTGTGACTCCTCAGTAGTAAGCTTTAAATACACGGGAAATTCCGAGGGTTGTCTCTTGTAGGAATGCCTTCTGTGAGGGGAAAGCGATTTGACGACCCTAGTCCGTTTGTAGTGGCGGGAAGTGAAACACAGCAGACCGACGATGATTCAGAAACGGCCGCTTTCCTTTCCAGATGTATCCGTTCTCACCACCACCAAGCGCAGATCGAGCACGATACTAGACTAAGTTACAGACCGAGCGCCTCAATCTCATTCGGCTTGAGCGCTTTCTTGGCTAGCAGAAAATCAGTCTGTAGTCGTAAAATTGTAACACTATAGCTAAGCCTGGTCTTTTCACAGGACAAGAACGCTGTTGGCCTCGATCGCCACAGTAGGTCGGAACTGATGAGGTGCGCGCCAAATATACGGAACGCGTAGGGGGACACGCGGGACCTCGTTTAACCTTATATCGCAGGGCTTCCCTTTCCAGAGCAGAGCTGCGTGCCCTTAGGGGCGGTTAGCGCGGTGCCGTGGGGACGGCAGGGCAGCCCGTTAAGGCCCGGGACAGGAGTGGATGGGAACAACTGGGTCTTATCAATGGGTTCTCAAGTAGCAAATCTTTCTCAAAAGGGTCTGATATATGACATGTATCAATCCCTGGTGTATTCTTTTGTGTAATACTACATCATGATGAGAGAGTATGCAATGTCGGAAAGATGCGGTTTTCTGTGTCACAGTGATGTTTATAAACACTATACTTTTATTTCACTAGAGGTATTTTTCACATCCTTGCTCTGCATCCGTCCCTTGCAAATACCCTGGCACACTGACCGTCTTCTGGCCATCTTGCTCCTCTGACACAAACTGTTCAGCCAACTCGGCAAATTTTCCATTGTACAGCCGCCACAGGAATCCAGATCCCGTGGGGGGAAATTATCCTACTGAAAATATCGTACCTGATCCGGGCCTTCCTGTGTATAGGCTTCAGGTTTTCCCATGATGCAATTGGTGTGCACCTGTACATTGTACAAGCGCCCCTAGCGACTAATCCAGAATGGAAAGTACAGAGGTATGAAAGACTTGATGACTTTGTCGTGTGTTCTGTAGGCTATATAAGTTGGGTAAAGTTCAGTACAGTACAGTGCCGCGTTGTCCTTGTCATTATATAATCTAATAAAAATATAGACTGGTACCGGTGGTATCAGAGAATATTAATCAACTTTTCCCGTTTGTTCTTATCGCTTCCAAATTTTAGCTGAGGTTCATAACAGGATGTCCAAACATTTGCGCAAAGTCCAAACCTGGAGACCTTTCCTTGAACCAGTCAGCCAGCATCTGTTCTGTGGCTCTAACGTTCACAGGGATGTTTGAATGGCGCATGTCCGATACAAACAAACAGGATCGATGACGAAATAAACATAGTGGTATATAGTATAAATATAGTGGTACTGCGATGCTGGATTAGCTACTTATACCGTACATATCTCCGATCCTAACGGGTGAGTATTCTTTCTTTTCTGTAAATTGGTACTTTAACAACGGAATTGTACTATTGTAGCTGTTATATCAAAACTAAGTCTAAGAGGGAATCAAAACCACGTCGCACTGAGGCTGAAGTGTAAGAAAACATCTATTCGTTCTTTTTGCGTGATAACCATTTGTTTAATTATCAGAATATGCCTAAATGTGCCAACTGGGAGTCTCAATGCCGACGCACTCTTATGTCAGTTAGAATTAGATAGATTAGGTAGTAAATGTTGGGCATCTGGTGTACGGAAATCTTTAGAGGAATGCGGTTATGCCTTTGTTTGGCATTCCCCCTATCAATTGCTTTAAAAGTACACGGAACCATCTCCTCCATTCACCAACGTTTGAAAGACATTTACTTCCAAAAATTCCTACGCGAAATTCATAATGACAACAAATCCAAAAACGCAAAGAACAAACTGCGCTCGTACAGACTATTCAAATCTACTTATAATGAAGAACATTATCTTAAAATCCCAAACGGAAGTCAAAGAACCACCATCACCAAACTACGAATCAGCTGTCATAAACTCAGCATCGAAACAGGAAGGCACAACCGCACACCTCTGGAACAAAGGATTTGCCAATATTGTAGCTCAAACAAAGTAGAAGATGAAGCCCACTTTGTTATTGATTGTAGTTTATATAGTAATGAAAGAAATGACCTTTTTAGATATATTACTAGTACGTTTCCATACTTCCAATACTTGCCTAATGTTGAAAAATTTATCTTTCTTATGCGCTTTGATCATCCTGTACTATACAAACCCATCTCAAATTATAT